GATGTTAAGGTTACTATATCAATGGCACTTCGAGTGAAATAATAGTGATCAATACCTTTTGGAAAAATATGGGAAATACTAATTGGAAGTTGGGATTCATTCTCAATAGGTTGCACATGGTTCACCCCAACCAGCTGCTATAGCATAACGAATGAAAAATATTTCTTAGGTATATCGGTTGTGTCAATGATGAGTTACTAGGAACTTTACTTTTTGTTCCTGTGGTTGTGAAGACAACGACATAAGTTTTAATCATGATTCCGTCTATATTTGTACCTTCTATTTCGAAACGATTATGGATGGGGTTTAGGCCCGCTCTAGGCATATTCGAATTTGAAGTGTTTTCGACATTCATCGAAAAGAAGTTGATACACGTAAGATAGAAAAGATGTTTGAAAATCGGTTGTCTGTGACATACTCCATAGTAACGAGAAAAGTGGTTTGTTTTTTAGTATCTAAAATCAAAAGATGGTTGTTAAAATGAATGTCTGATGTTTTGATGAATACTAAGTGATAAACCACAAGCCTATATGTAAAACTTTCGTAAGGAAAGACAAAGGTAAATGTTCAAACTTCGTTACCGCGTATATAAAATGTTATACCACAATAAAACTACAAACACGCGTCATTAGTAATACAGCTTTGCCGGAGGTACCTTATCATAGTGGGAGGATTGCAAGACAACCATATAGTTAATATTCTTGAGAAAGTCTTTGCACTTAGTCTCTTGTAAACGTGATATAAATCATGGTTATACAATGACATGCTAGGTGTAGTTGGAGCATTGCAAAAGTGGCTGCCATAGATTTGTGGTTAATGAGAAAGTCTTTGGACTCAGCCTCTAGTAAGCACGAGACTATGAATTCGTATTCTTGATAGAACTCTTTCGACTTAGTCTTTCGTGAACGTGAAATTCCTAGTTATCTGATACATTTGGTTGATCATGTTTGTGGATTTGATCAAGCATTGTGTGTATGTGAAGCATGATGGTTCTTTTATACTATGCGTAGACAAATTCTGATCAACTGGAGAGAGTGTGAAGATGTTGTCAGATGCAGGGATATGGTTATCCAAGCAATTAGATATAAAGCTTTCGAAAAAATCAACACGTGACCTTAAGGTCTAAGGATCACGAGAAGGGAATTTTGCGATTATCTCGAGCTTCATATTTATGGATTGCCATAAGGCTTGTTCGTAGCATACATAACACAAAGGCAAGTCCTTATGCTCGACAATAGACAGCCTACTGTATGTAATGAATTAAATGAGGCATGATATCTATTATTGCTAAGGGCATAGTTAATATATATCGAGGTAATCCTATATGAGTGCATTGGTTTGTGGTAGATCATGTGATCAAACGAATGTAACTCGACTAAGGATAATATCTACGGTTACCAAAGAAACCACATGCACCCTATCGATTATAAAGAATTCTAATTTCTAATCAGAGGTGAACAATACGTAAAATATACCTAAGGAATTTGTGTTCACTTGTAAGGTCGAACCAATAGTATGGAGGAATCTCGAGCATTCCACCATGGAAACTCTTTACGTCGTCAGTTGAAGAGCAAACGGTGGGAGAGGTTTGGATCCTGGTAACCTCTTTGAACAAGAAGTGTTAAATCTTTGTTTGCCCAAGTCAAGTCACAATTTAATTGTTATGGCAGTTGGTGCAGTGACAAATGAGAAGAAATCGCATGTTCATAAAGCAAGTGAGTGCATAGAGGCACGGCCCAATGTGATAAATCGCAAAGGCGTAGAATTTTGTAGCCTAGTTATGTCAGTAGATGATCAAGAAATTTCTTTTGGAATTGGCTTTCTGACGAAAGTTGTTGGTGGCCATCTTAAGAGATTGGGGAGTCAGATTATGGCAATTAGGACAATAGTTCTTTGAGAATAGAGATTGAAATAAGCATACTTGTAAAAGTGAAAGCTAAAATTATAAGTGAGAGATTGTTGGTGTGTATACTGAAAGCTCGACTTTTTGTTAACACTATTCTCGTTTGGATTAGAATTAGTGTTTAATTAAATAAGTTCTATGTTCTGTTATTTTTACTTAGATAAATGGCTCATAACGGATGTACAGAAGATCGATTACTTGCAAAACATAAAGGAATTGGTTCACAACCTAGATGAAAATTGAACAAGCCATCGAAACGGTTGTAGTGTCAATAGTCTTGCTGGTCTTGATTGATTAGTTGCACTAGTACTAATTGTTTATTAAATAGGATCCCAGAGAGGAGCAGTTTGTTTTATACTGATTGACGTAAACGAACTAGGCCTCGGCTAATTACTACGTTCTCTTAACTTGTAAGATATGAACAGACACATGTATGTAGTAGTTACTGCTTTGAATCAGCAAAGTGAGGTTTATTCTCATGAACCAATAATTGTCTACTTTGGGTAGTGATTCCTACATGACATGGTGCTCCGTCATTATAATTATGATCATTGACATTTAGCGATGTTTCCGAAGTGAGCTGAAAAGGACTATTATGTTAAACCTAGCCAATGGAATTTATTCTGACATAATAATAATAATAATATACTGAGTGGTGTTAGCTTCAGTTTAAGAAGTTGATTAATTTAGTTGTCAGTAATTAAATTAATTGATGGACATTGTAAATTGAGTAATTTAAAATTAGAGCTCATTTGTGAATTAAATTGAGAGTTTTCAATACTACTACTTTAGTGGAATGACTGTATTATTCATATTTTGGCTACGGAGACTTGACCCATAGTTTAATGCCTCCTTAGGCTCCCAGTTATAGCTTATAAGAACATCACATCTCCTGGAGTGGAGAGAAGAATGAGCCACATGCGTATACACAAGAAAGTCGCCACTCTCTTATTCTTTTCTTCTCTTTTCCTGCTTTAGGAATCCCAACCGAGATATCTTCGTATTCGTTGCCCACCAAGAGGAACGGGGAGGATGTCGTGTCATACAGCTACGGGCTCTCTCTCTCTCT